CACTCTATTAGGCATTGTAAGTCGTCTACAGATGATTGCAAGTGTGTGGGAGGATGTGTGTAAGTTGTGTGCAAATACTAAGCCATTATATAAAGGGCTTGAGCGTCCTAGTGCTTTGGTATCTGCAGAGGTCCTGGAACCAGTCTCCCGTGGGGACTGAAGGACCCCTGTATTTGGTATTTTGTTTCCCAGTGTCCTGCAAATTAAATGCAGGCAGGAGAAGGGATGCAGTGGAGAAGCTGTACTTGTCAGCCAGAGGGACCTCCCCCCGCCGCCACACCGTGCATTCCCAGTGTGCTTCTAGAGTCTTACCAGAAATCTAGCTTTTTGAAAACCCCTATCCCAGACCCACCAAGCCAGAACCTCCCTGTAATGACCACTTGGGTGTGGAGTTGGCACTGTCTGTCCCATATCACTGTGCAGCCCTGGCTCTCCTAATTCTGCACACAAACTGGGAAGGCAGACAGTGCCAAAGCTGAAGCCCTAGTGCCCCTGTGATCTAAAACAAGAGGGCTCGGTATGCCTCTTCTCTCTTCATTTTGGGTTCGCAGAAATGCGAATGTGTGTATGTTGGGGGCTAGTGGGGGACTGGATGTGTTTTCAGACCTACGCCCATTCTGTAACTTGCTCTGTGAGATCGGTTCAGTAATACACAACCTCTCTGAATCTCACTTCCCTCAAATTAGTTTTAAAAATATGACTGATTGCTATGGCCTCTTCCAGTTCTGCAGTATAGCAACCTTGTGCTGTTCTCTTAGCTTAACAGTATGAGAAGAAGTGGCGGATTGAGGCTGTGTGTAGTTGTAGAATATTGGACAGTACGTAAACATGCACATGTAATATATACTATGATAATACATGAACGCACAAATGTATCATATATTTTATGTCACATTGTATGTTGCATGCATAATATACGAATGATCTATACTGTTGGACAGTATTTTCCCAACGTTGAGTGAGCCACCAGATGGCTAGGTTTGCTGTGAGGAAGGGTTATTTCACCACCTGCAAAAGACTTCAAGGAAGGACACTATTCACATGCCGCACTGTCACTTGAAAACCCTAATTACCTAGGGTCTGGAGGATTATTAAACAGGAAAAGTGAACCGTTCTCTACCCACACACGGTTTTTTTCCATAGTCATAAAACTGCAGCAAATCAAAGGAAGGATGAATCTGTGTTTTTATGTCCAGATCTTTGTACTTAGTATCAGGGTGACTGGCAAACTTCATCTGAAATGTAGATATCCTTTTAAAAGCGAGTGTATGAGATTCATGTGTCTTTTTAGGCAAAGTGCGATTTTATGCGCGCACACACACACACAGATGTGAATGTTTTTGATGTTATCGTTTTGTATAGCTTTTTTTTCAGCTGCTCGTCCTGACAGTGCTTTTAGTATTAACCTTTTAAATTTTTGTGTTGAGAATCTATTGAGGAAAATGGTAACCCCATCCCTATCAGGAACATGGACTGACATGTTGTTGGTTGTCAGAAAATTCTGTATTCTAGCTACCCAAACTTTTCTAAGAAAAGGTGGCAATTTAGCCTTATCTTGTTCACTGATAGAAGACATAAGTGTATTTCAGTTACTCTTAGCCACAGATCACACTGGCGTCTTGAAAAAGGCCATTGAGTTATATATGTGCCTGTTCAGTGAAGTTTATACAGAAGACAAGTGAAAGCTGTTCTCATTATCTATCAGAAAATATTGTAACATTTAGGGATGTCCTAATTGGCAGCTATCCCAGGAAACTACAGAAATGTCTTTGGAATGAAGTAAAATTTAGCAAATAGCATTCATTTATTTTTATTATATTTTCTCCCTTCCTTTTGTTCTTGGCTTCTAATGACTGCACGTATAACAAAATTCTAATCAAGCACTGTTTTTCAAAAATGTGCAAACGGTAATAGAAGAATGGAGGATACTTTTCAACTCTGAAGATTCAGTAAGATGTGCAGTATGAAATCTGGAGGTAGCCACTGTTTTAAGCACCACCCTGTAAGCATTCACAATTGATTTCCAACATGCTCAAAAAACCAGGCTGCAACATGTATTATATATGTTGAAAGCTGCACCATAATTTTACTAGTGGTTTGGTCCAGGGATGAATTCCCTATTGCTTTCCAGGCCCCAGTACTCTGAAAGAGGAAAAGTGAATTCCATAGTGGGCATTTTCCATACTCCTATTTAAGATTCAGGGGGCAAATTGGCATTTTAATAGCATGCAGATCCAGGAAACTAAAAACATAAAGCATTTGTTTTCCACAGCCAGAGAGTTGATATTAGAAACTCCTATATTTCATACAAAATGTTGCTGTTTGGCACCTGAAACCTGGTGGTTTCAGAAAAGAAGAATTAGGTGTTCCTCAGCTCGAGCTTGTAAATGCATCTGGACCACACCTTGGACATGATGATGCTTTTCATTTCCCGTATGCCTGGTGTTGCAATTCTCTAGCACTGCTGTGAGCATGGGGGTCAAGTTTGTTCCAAAGGCTCTGGCTTACTCCCACGACACACGTGGGAAGACCATGGAATGAGCTCTTCTCCAGTCTTCCGGCATTAAGCTCAGCCCCAAGACTCCCAGGGCTTAGGAAATAGCTTAGGGTGAAGAGTTGTTTTTCTCTGAGTGGTGCCCGAACATTCCTGCTAAAGCAGACAGTCATCACTTAGTCTCTGTAAATGATGACGATTTTGGCAGGTGTCAGCTGGTATAAAAATGGCTCACATTAAAAGTCTTTTTTAAAGCACGGAGTAATGAGGGGGACTAATAAAAATAATAATCTCACATGTGTCTGGCCACATAGGGGCTTGCCTGAAATGACTTAATTCCTGTTTGGTTTCTCAGTGGCACGTGTCCCCAAGTGTGCTGAAGCAGACGCACTAACTGCCTTTCTTCAAAGGCTGGCCGAACATGCCGCCACACCCAGTGCTGTGTGTTCAGAATGATCCCGTGCGCACCATTCCCCTGGTCACCCGATGTCCTTCACATGGTGTTCTTCAAAAATGCCACTGGGTGCCCAAGGAATGTGAAGTTGAAACACAGAGAAAATGTTCTGGCAGCCTGGCTGGCTGGCATTCTTTCTGAGACCATAGAACTCTCCAGAAACATGTTTCCTGCCATTTTCTTTCCTTGACTCCTAATACTAGTCATTAAGCTGTGGCAACCATTTAAAGGGCAGAATTATGTTTTAAATGGTTTTTGAATTAAGAACTGTATGGGTTTTTCTTTTTCTGCAAAGGAAATTTCAGGCTTTTTTTAGTGTGACAAGAAATGTCTGTCACCAAGATGAGAGGAGGGAGGACTAAGGAAGTCTCCATCAGGGGACATTAAATTATGCTATGACTGAACAAAATAGGATGTTCTAGAAAAAGACAATTTTGTACTTCTGAGGGAAAAGGATGACAGGGTTGCTCAGGAACCTGGCCCCTTTTGTCCACAGAGCTAGTGCTTAAAATACTCAGCCCATAAGAGGCCTCTCACATGTGTGCTGGCTGAGCCTGCGTGACTCAGGGTGTTTGCGTTCAAGTCGAGTGTTGTGGGCTGGAGCGCTGAATCAGAGTCCAGATTTGCCTTGGTGACACATGAAAAGAGGGAGCGTTGCATTTGAACTACACAAATATTATGCTTAAGTATTTTTCCTCCTTTTGGAGCCAAACAGGTCTTGTTAATGATAAAATCACTGCAATATAGTGGGCCCTTTTTCTGGTCTGGAATTTGAGACACTGTCAAGGGTGCCAAGGGGCCCTGTAGCAGGAAGAAATGGCAAGCCATGGAGATTTGGAATCATAACACAAGTTATACAATTTAATTTTATAATTGTAGCGATGGCGAGTTAGAGGAAAATGGGCTGCTCCCAGCCCCACTGCTATCCTGGGCTGTGGAGAGTGGAGCTAAGGGTCCTGGTTCTAATTTAGGATTGGGGAGGGGACAGGAAGGGGAACTTTCTAGGGGCAGTAAGCTGGCTGCCTCTCCAGTCTTGTTCTGAGGCTGCTTGACAATCGAGGGTTTTGGTGAAATGGATCAAGGGCTCTACTCAAACAAACTTCAAGGTTACAGAAGGAATGAGAGGCCATCCTCTCAGAAAGAGGAAAGGATTACCCAGGCCTTTTGTGCCGTGTCCCACTAGGGTACCCCCAACTCTGCCATCTCTGGTTTAATGGCATTTTGATGGTGGATTCAGAGAGAAAACTGGAGGTCCATCCAGCCCGCCTGACCCATCCCATGTAAGCGTCTCTGCTTGCCACTCTCTGGTGACCGTGATTTTGATGAGGAGCATGAGGACTGAGGCAAGGACACCTACTATCCACACAGACACTGAGAATCCACCTTCCCACCCTCGATCCTGAGCCCCCCAGGAAGAGTCACCCAACCAGCTGATGGCTCCCTTAGGCCTAGCCTGCTGAGAACACTGGACAAAGCCCAGGCTTCTCCTTCCTGCCCACTCCCTCTTAGGGGTGCACCCAGGGCGTGGGTTTTGAGAAGAAAGCAGCTCCTAAGAAGCCTTTGTGGCGAGGAAGAGGGGCTGCCCCTTATGTACCAGGAAATCTGAGTTCCTGCCTGTGGGTTTGCCGCTGCACCCCATTTCCTTTTGGAAGGGACATGCCGCTAAGCTCCAGGACACCTCTCAGACCTGCCACAGTAGCCTTTGCAGTAAGGAGCGACATGATGCTATGCGGACAGCACCTTTCCTGGCTGCCACAGCCGGTGGGCCAAACGCTTCCTTCTCCATTGCCACTGCTGCTGCCACCAACCCCGCACCCTGCTGAATTCTGCCCAAAGAGGTGGTGCAAGGATTGGAGTGGGTGTGGGGAACACCCTGTGGCCAGCGTGATGAGGGGCGAATCTCCAGAGTCCACACATCCTGGGTGAGGGGAGAGGGAGGGGAAAGGCAAGACAGCGCCCAGCTTTAGAAATTCCACAATGCATTTTCTGATCTCTTCCCTCCCTCCTTCCCTCTCTCCCTCCCTGACCCTCCCCACCCGCTCCCCACAATAGGACATCGTCAGAAACTAGATGATCAGACCAAGCCTGGGAGCTTGTCCTTTTCCGAGCGGCTCAGTGAACTGGAGCAGCTGCGGCGCACGGCCATGAGGGTCAGCCCGCACCACCCAGCCCCCACGCCCAACCCTCGCGTGAACCACTCCACTGCCTTTAACCCTCAGCCTCAGAGCCAGATGCAGGGTAAGTACCAGGGTGGAGCCCACTTGCTGCCTCGCGCTCGCCTTAAGGGGCCACCATGCACAGAGCCCACCCAGGACAGCCCTGGCTTTTCCTGGAGGCTCAGAGAGAGCTCATAGCAATGCAGATTCCTAGACTGCATCCACCTGCTGAGTCCATCCAAACAGAGAGATCTGGATGGAGAAGCGTTGGTGCACAGGAGATAGAGGAGCTATAGTTATGGGTATAGATATCCATAGCTGTGTATGCAGTGTCTCTTGGGTATCCATGGGAGATGTGTTCCAGGACCGACAAGGATGCCGAAATCCTTAGGTGCTCAAGTCCCTTGTATAAAATGGCATAGTATTTGCATTTAACCTGCACCCATCCTCCCATAGACTTTAAATTATCTCTGGATTACTTCTAATAGCTAATGCAATGTAAGTGCTGTGTAAATAGATGTTACAGTGATTCAGGCCAAGAAAAGAAAGTTTGTACATATTTATTATAGGTGCAATTGTTAAAATATTTTCAACCCATGCTTATTTGAATCCTTGGATGTAGCACCCACAAGGACAAGAATGAATATTTTAAGAATAAGCTTTGGCTATACTGTTTTCTAACCTACCCACCCATTAGGCTTACAGACACATACAAATGCACACATATGGACATAACTCTAGGTAAATGGTCAGATGTTTGAGGTTCTCGTTGCCTTCAGATTATCTGTGTTTTTTAATGTATGTTATTTTTAAGAATACAAAGCAATGGTAGGCATGGTTGGATGCCATCACATCACGCATAATACCTGCAAATCAATAAAGAATGCAGGTCTCCCTACCCCATGGGGCTGGCCAGCAATTGTAAAAAAACACTGTAAAATGCAATAATTGCCTAGAACCCACTGTGCCAAATTAGATAATAGGCGTGGTTCATTTACACGGTAGAAGTGCTGACACCAGTGGCTGATCTGTGGTACCCGTCTGAGCACCCGAAATGCAGTCATCTCTCTGTGCTGTACAGGACGCAGCTGTATATGATATGGGCACAGTCATAGCCCTTTGTCAAAGAAGCAGGCTTGTTCAACTCAAAGCGGAAGATAAACAACACATCTGCAGAAAAGGGCAGGCAGCCAGCAGCGGATGTGGTAGCTCCTTGCCCCTCTTGTACAGCAAGAATGAGCTTCCCGAGGCGTTTTCTAGATGTGAGTCGTGTTGTGGGATGCACAGGCATCTGTTTGGTCGAGTTTCTGGGCCGATGGCTCTCTGTTGTGGTTAACATGTGAGGCTCTTGCAAGGCTTGCCGGCATCTTCGGCAGAGCAAGATAGAAAGCCCAGGCCCTTCGCAAACACAGTTGTGTTTCTGGGGGAGGTTCTTTTGTTAGAGTGGAAAATTCCCAACGAAGTCTTCCCATAAAATAACCATGCACACAGCTGTGAAGTGGGCTGTCTGTAGGGGAGCCCTTTTGTATACAAACAGAGACCTCAGGCTTGATGTTTGGAAGGCTGCCTCTCATCTTTGCGTAGGTATATTTTGGATAAGGCCCTGGGAAGTCAGTGGTCCCCTGGCTCTCGATAATCATAAATAATGATTCAGAATATGCATATTGACTTTAAAAGTGCAAGGGTGTATGGTAAATTAGGGCAAACGGTGGGAGGGGTGGGGCTAGGGTGAAAGGAAACAAAACCCCCAAGGAGGTGCTTTTCACTTGTGTTGTTTGGGTCATTTAAATTACCCCATGTCATCTTCAGGGTTCCATGTGTCAAAATCAAAAGGAAGACTTCTGTTGTCTTATTCTCTCCTTGCTTCACTGACTATCGATACCACTAGTCTGATAAAGGAATTTGCCTTTTTTTTTTTTTTTACTGATAATGGAAGAAAACCTATTAAGCATCATTAAAGAAAATGGAAAATTCCACCATATGGGGGAGCAAATTAAAATTGTCACCATTGAGTCTGCTTTTTTCCAACAGTTTTGCAGAGGGAGGAATCCAATCTAATTACTTCCTTTCATCAGATATGATTCCTTGCCCCTTCCCCAAAAAAAGAAGGGGCTGGGAAGGTGGCCCATTGGCATTCCTGTCCTCTGAGAGCAGGCTCGCTTGGACAGAGGTGTTACCACGGACGGGCAGTCTGCAGCACTTTGGAGGACTGTGTGCTTGGCAGAGATCAGGTTTAATGCCAAGCATCACCCCTTTCTTGCTCCTTTTAAAAACTTTTTACTTCTGCGACATCTAAGCAATCATAACTTGCTTTTAGAGTGCCCTAGGGGCTTGGTTGCTACTCTAAAGACTGTGTTAACTGTATTGCTGATGTTCTTTCTCTCCAAAATGTGGATTTGATATGCAGTACTTCACGTGTAAAATGGCAGGAACAGTGTTTTAGAAATCAGTTTCTAGAATTTTCCTGTAGAAATCTCTCTCTCCCTCTCTTTTCCTCTAGATCTTGCTGTCACTCTCCTCTTTCTCTCCTGCCTTCTCTCTTTCCTCCCTACTCTGTCTCCATATGTCTTTCTCCCTCTCTCTTTCCATAAAGAAAATGCTATTTTACACATGTCAAGTTTTAAATCGACCCTTGAGCTTTGGAAAAAAAAAAAAACCTGGAAATTAGAATGTTAACACAGGTAATAGGAAAGTATAGGGCGGCCAATACCTTCACTTTTTCTTGACATGAGGGAAATGGTTAATTTCCAGGCTTCGTTCTAGAGTGTCCGTATTATATTTAAAATCACAGTTTAAGAAAAACAGCGTGTGTTTTATGGTTCTCTTTGAAATTAAACAGCAGCAGTAGTTTTAAGAAACATATTCGTTCCAGAAGTAGTCAGGGCAGTCCCTCAGCTACGCTGCGCAAATGTTTTTCAGCTTGACAGATGTATCAGAAGCTGGAAGCCGGAAGGATGGCCAAGGTTTATGGAAGGGCTGGGGACTGTGGCTTGCTGGGGCCTCCTTGGGAGGGTGGAGCAGGCAGGAAATCACTCATACAGAATGTCGCCTCTATTTATCTAGAATCAGGTGTGCTTGAGAATCACTCAAAAGAGCCATCTCCGATGATCTGGGGCAGGATGCAGAGGGAGAGGGGCAGGTTGCCATGCCACCAAACCACTGTTTATTTGTTGAGGTTTTAGCTATAAAAGGACTGAGGTTAATTTCAACTTCCTATTTTACCAGGTCTTAAAACTGAATAGAAAGCCATTTTGTCATGGCTGCACGTTCATGCAAATCAAGACTTCATCATTAACTGCTACAGTCAAATTTTAGAATTCTTTTATATTCCTTTTAGAAGAGGGGACAGGGTAGATTGTAGAGAGCTGGAGGGAACTGATGCCTGTTCGGTCACACCTCCCTCTTAGAGGTGCCTTCAGGCACCCAAGTGAATAATTTTCAGAATTTGACTCTGATTTACCAATCTGAGGAACCACATTTAAGATGGTGCCACTTCCTCCTCTGGAGAGATAAAGATGGGCTGAGGGATGCTGGTGCAGAAAACCATCAAACCCAAATAAACTAAGAGGCCAGTGCTGTTGTCATTGCCCACATTGGTTGCTATAAACACCTAAGCACTAAGGTTGAACTCTTTCGTTGGGCCAACTGTGATATATTTTGGCATGGGAGAGAGACTCAGATCTACAGTGTCCCATTCCCATGATCCCGTGGCAAGGTTTACATACAAACTGAACCTCAGGGATTAACAGCTGCCCACCATTTCTAAGATCCTAAGTGAAGAATGTGAGACTCGAATCCAGATCTTTCTGGTAGCAAAGCCTGTGCAGGAGGGGTGTAGGGGTTGAGCAGCATGGAGAATAAGTGGAGTCACCAGTGGAGCTCTGGGAGAAGTGCTAGGCTTGTCGCTCTCACGGACCTGTAGTGAATGTGTGCTATTGTGATTAGACAGTGATGATTGTGATAACTTTGGGCTCTGTGGTGGACGCCTTGATGATCTGTCTCCTTTTGGTGCATGGCCATGTCTTTTTAAAGATGGAGAGAAAGGAAAACTGAGGATAATAAACCTCTGAGCATTCATGAACGGGGGATATATGGGCAGAAAGAGGGCTTTTCTGTGGCCCTATCTTCTGTACTGGGGCGGCTGCCTCTTCCTATAGGAGGCTCTCGCTGGGGGCCAGTGGAACCAAGCTTTCTTACGTATCCAAACCCAGGCAACATCTGGTCAGCCATGGGAGGGTAGATGCCTCCGCTTAAGAGTTCCATGTGGCCCCCAAGAGGGGCCCGGGCTTCTCGGGTCATCACCAATTCTTAGGATTCCAAATGATTTTTGTTTTGATATTTACGTTCTCTAAAAGTTCAACTTACTTTGGAAAGACTGTATTCTCATGCCGCTATCTACAAAATTCTTTGAGGTACTGAATTGTCTGTTTCTCAGTTGTGTGGAATTACTTATGCTAGTCTACTTTTCCCCTTATCTGCTGTGTGGGTCAAAGAAAGGAAAGCTTTCCACCTTCCTGTAGGAAGGGGAGTTAAAACCCCGTGTCCCAGGCAACCATTTCAGACCAGGAGATGAGACCTGGGGACCTCTTGCCTGAGCCCCCAAGGGTTCATGACAGCCTAGATGGCAGTAAGTGGAGAGACAGAAAATGACACAAAGCCCCTTTCCAGCTGTGATGTAAAACATTCAGCTGCATCGCGCTGCTTTCTCTCTCCTGTCTGTCTCTGTCTTTCTGTCTCTGCCCCTCCCTTTCATTTTAGAAGCAATGTGGAGTGGGGGCTGTTGATTACTTTGAAAGCAGATGCTACAGTCAAACACTAGAAATTATCGTGTGTAAATCCATAAATGATCATGTAATGGTCATACAAAGTAAAGTAAGTATTCAGAGAGCTAGAAATCAACTTGTAAGACTCGCTTACAACGTGAAAGTGAATAGTGTCATTGCTAAGTAGCTCTAAGTGTGGTAGAGTTCGGAACCTGAAAACCTAGAGTGTCAGAATCTTACTTGGAAAGCCAGCCTCCAGCAGGAGTTCTCATGAAAAAAGTTGAGGGAGGGTAAGGGGGGAGGGAGGCCGAGAGAGAGG